AATAAAGATAATATAATTAGTAGCCCAGTTTCATCCAACCGGATGGTTTAGGATGAAGGGCCGCTGGAAATTAGCACCCCCCCCCCCCCCCCCCAATGTCATTTGTGATTTTGGTGAAGAACTTTTGTCCTTAGAACTGATCTCAGAGCATATTACGGAAACTAGCCAGCCAACAATTTAAGGCTTCAGTTTTTGCTTGAAGCGATCCAAAATTAGTGAAATTTGGTTATTTTAATTTCAGCATTGGCACGCTGGTTAGCACAGTAGCCTCATAGCAAGAAGGTCCTGAGTTCAGTTCCACCATCAGTCTTTCTGTGTGGAGTTTGCACGTTTTCCCCGTGTTTGCGTGGGTTCTCTCCAGGAACTCTGGCTTCCTCCCACAGTCCAAAGACATGCAGTTAGTGGGGATAGGTTAACTGAAATCTCTAAATTGCCCATAGGTGTGAATGTGAGCACAAATTATTGTCTATGTCTATGTGTTAGCCCTGCGACAGACTGGTGACCTGTCCACGGTGTACCCCGCCTATTGCCCCGCAACCCTGAAAATGGATAAGCAGAAGTGAATGGATGTATATTTCAGATGCATTTTAGCCATAGACCCTATAGACAGATATATATTTGGATATAAAGAAAATTCTGGAAATGTTGTCAAATAAGCAACAAAAAAGGCTTCAAAGCTTTCAGTGTTTCAATGTTTTATTGAGAACAATAGGTCAAATTACTTTTTGTAATATGAAAGAGGTTACCATTAGGAGATCACAGTGCAAAGAATAACTTAATATTTCCATATTAAGGAAAAATAGTAAAGCTTTCTCTCAGGGTCACAAGTTAATGTTACTGAACATATTTGGCAGGTTAGTTAAATCTTGTAAAATAGATTTTGATAGTCATGGGACTTCCTGTTGAAATAAAGGTCATGAATAAAAAAAAGGTCTTCCAGTAACTTCAAAACAATGCACTGTAACCACATTCACTGTTGTATGTTATACTGTATCCATAACAGCTGCTGTTGTTATAGTATACACTATAACAAAGGGCCTGTTGCAAATGCTTCACATGCACAAAATCACAAATATATGTTTGAGTATATATTCGATTCTGTTATTACAATGACACTATAAAAATGGGATTTTTTTTAAAAACACTAGTATTGAACAGAACCATCTTTAATGCCACTGTTGAACTACATTAACATAAACTGTGTAGGATTTATACTCATTAGCTTTGTGTGAGCTCTTACAGGTATTTACATTTACAGGTAATTATTTCTGTCAGTGTAAACTGGTTTTAGTCACATGCTTCATATCTTAGTATCAATATGACAGTGGCCAAAAACACATGTGCGCTACTGTGTAAACAACAGTTTGAACAGACTGAACACAGAAGTCATGAAGCAGCTATGAAACAATTACTCAAACTGCTCACTGTGTGACACAATCAGAGCAAGCACTGAGGCCTTTTTAACATATGCAGACTACAACCCAAAATGCACTGGTTCAATCTTCTGCTGTCACTCGTCGATAAGTAATATTTCTTCATACATCAGTAATATTTATTCTAATTGTTAAGAAAAGAGTCGCCGAAAATAACGAGCACTGGCTCATTCTCATGGTTCCAGAAGGCAGACGGTGCGTGACAGGACATGCGAGCACTGCAGCATGCAACACGCAGAGTTTGAATTTGAATCTGTTCAGATTATAAAATGTACCAATTCACACCTCACTGGTTGAATGCTCTAAGTTAAGACTGATACTTGCTGAGCTTCTTCCTTTTTAATCAGCACCTTGAATTTGCAAAGTCATTTGTCCGCTAGTCTTTAGCAGGTACCTTAACAAAACCTTTTGGAAGTTACGGCTTGTGAGACAAGCAGAAAGTCTCCTGTTAAGACCAGCTGGACACAGTGCTGCACAGTTTATTGCATGGCTGTTAAAAATAGATTGTATTTCAGACATGGGAAGAATATGGGAAACATATATGCCATAAATATGCACAACATCATGTAAAAGTCAAATTATTGGAGATTATGTATCGGAATTTCGGGAGCAGGACCACGCCTCCAAACACGCTCCTTCCGGTTGTCATCTATATAGGTTCCCCCCCAGTTCTGCAAACTGTTCATTTTCATTTACGTGCCCCACCCTCCCTCCCTCCTTGTTCTCAATTCTTTAACTTCTTCACTCCTATTTAGTACATGGGGATCTGCCAGGCCCGGGAGCCGTCGCCAGTCCTCTTCGAGGCCTTCCCCAAACCGCAGCTCAATTCATGTCCAAGTGTTCACCTTTACCTACTAAAACGCTGTCAAACCTAAAATGAGGACGTGGGCCCAGCTAGTGAAAAGAATGTAAATCATTAAGCTAGACCCCTGTGATCGTGTTAAAGATAAGTGGTACAGAATGGATGGATGGAGTGTGAGTGAGGGATGTGTCTCGACTGCAGGCAGACCAGTTTATTTTATTTCTCTTTTAACTTAATTAATGAATTTCAGTCATTTTTGTGTGTGTTTTGTTTTTGATCAGCGCCTGTTGTGTTAAATATGCAATATAAATAAACTGACCCATGTTATGTTGTAATAAGAGTAAAATATGGTTTGCCACCATCTGAATGGCCTCATATGTTGCACTAAAACCTGTGTATATCGTTCAGCACTGATGGTGCCCACACAGATGTGCGTGTTTACCAATGCACCTTCTTATCACCGTGGATGCTCACTGTGTGCTGATGGCAAACCCATTCCTTGATAAATTTATTTATTTTAAAACTCTTTTTTTCTTTTTTGGGGGGTGTAGTTCTCCGTCTCAGTCCATCTTAAATGACCACAGAAGGCAGCAGCGTTTCTGAGCCTGAGGGTCTCTATTTTTCTTTTGCATGGTAGCGTTTAAATGACATCTGCACAGCAGCGATGTTCACTGCGAGTTATCAGAAGTGTGTCTGAGCAAATGTGGTGATTTCCTGTCAAAATCCTGTTTGCTTTGCCTCATATGGATGCTGTGAATCTTATAAAGACATAATATATCATGGGAATATGTAGTTCTACATTTGAGAAGTGTACAAGCAGACATTGACAGAATGGTGAAACTGCACGTATCCTTTCTTCTAAAAGCCAAGCCTTAATATCTATGGGATGATATATCTTTTTTTTAAAATATCTATTCACGTTACTAATTAACTTTACTAGTTATGAGACGTTCTACTTGGTATGTTACACAATCTTTTCAGCCTTTTGTTGGCCCTGTCCAAAGTTCCAGACACTAGTCACGCTATTTGGCAGCCATGTTAATGCATCTGGGCAACTACATGTTTTAAAGCATTATATATGGTTACTTTAATTTACTTTACTTTAATTTTTATGGAGTTTAAAAATTACGTGTATGAAAAATGCTTTAAATCCTTGCTGTTTCCCCTGAAAGTTGAATATCTTTTTACATCTTTGCGATTGCTGAATTCTTCCAAAGATTTCAATTTAGGATTCTTGACTGCCATCTCTCTTTATTATAATGTTGCTGCCTTGTTTGAACTTTATAAGTCATGATGAGCTTATATACTAAAAAAACACACACGTTTCACATATGATATATATATCATATCAGATATATGTACTGTGTTTATTTTGTGTCTAAATTTAGTTCTTTACAATACAAAGAAGTATATCTTAGAAAAAATAAATAAAAATGCAGTTACACTGACAGATATGCATCACAAGTCACAGTAGCTCTACCAAATGACACTCATACAAAAAACATTCTTAGTCGAGAAAGTTTCACTTCCTGCCTGGTTAAACCAAGAAACAACCTCAGGGTCCAGCTTTAAGTCAGCTCCCATGTTAAAATGTCTAACTTTACAGCAGAAATAAACATGTTTACTGCCTGATACAAAAAAAACCACACCTTTGGTCTCCATGGATAATTTCCTCCTTGATAAAAACTATGAATTTTCATATAACTCATCCATCTAGAATCTACAGTTATGAGAATAGCCACTTTGACTGACAGGTGTGCATGTAGAAGACGCTGACTAGGCCTTAGATCCTGTAAATGGAGTGACCAAACTGAACTGCTGTTAGTGCTGTTAGTGGCTTTTGGAGCATTTTTAATAGAAAAATATTGTGACTTTATAGGTTTCTTAATTTTCACTAATTAGCAGGTATCTGTGTGTATCTGTATTGCATCCACACAGCTTATGAATGATACTTAATAATGAAGCTAGTTAGCATTAGCTGATAACTTTGCACTCCATCCTGTCATCCAAATATGCTCATTTGTGTTTCCAAAACAAATAAATAGAAACAAGAATAACATAAAGGTGGCCAAAGTACTAACAATAGCCAAGCCCATCTTTTATGTACAGCATATACATGAGGGTTGAAGTATCGAAAAACATCAAAGGGAGGAGAGAAAATATAAAAAGGTAACTTTAGCTAATGCTATGTCTTCTTAAAATCCCAGTGCTTCTATAATAATGACCCAGAAGATCACAGGTCTTACAAACTTCCAAACTTCCAAACTTATTGTTTGGACCTCTGGCTTGTACCTCCTGTCACATCTAATGTCTAACTTATGTGATTACCTGTGACAGGTTAAGTAATCATCTCACACTTTGCAAAGGCATCCCGTGGGCTGGACTGGAAAGCATTTGGAGTGCTGGTTCTGGCCCCCATGTTTCTTTTGTAGTGATACAGCCCGTGAGAAAACCTGGGATAGAATCTAGGCTGTCCCATATTTTGTATTGTCGGCTGAAGATGAGCTTGACAAAGTTTTGTGTTATTTTTTAAACATTTTGTATTTATTTGTTTTTGGTGATGTCAGATACTAACAGGCAGAGGTTGTTGTTTCTGCAATATGACAACAACACCTCGAATAAAGAGAGTGAAATATGCAAACAAATACCACAAGTTAAACCGGACCCTTATTTGGAGGGCCACTTCTGGCCCCCAGGCCACATGTTTGACACCAAATCACTGCACACTCTTCTTTCATTTACATTTTAAGGGTTCTAAGTATCGGTACGTTCAATTTTTCAGTATTTATTAGGATGACATTTTATTTGAGGAGAAAGCCTCCAGCGTGGACCTTTGCCTGACTGCAGCGTGCAGCTGTGCGCACAGACCGGAGATGTGTGCGCACTGAGGGCCGTGCTGTTTTGGCCTGCTGCCTTACATGGGCAAACCTCTGAACTGACTCAGACGAGCTGGAATTTCAGCGTGACGTCACTGCCTACAACTCTCCCAGAATTTGGATCAAGTAGTTTTCACTGTTTTTGGTGGGATTTCAGCCCCTGTGTTAGGTTTCCTAGAAAGCGAGGTAAGTGAAACTATACGTCGCACCTTTTCAAACATACGGGCGGTTTCCGGTGCAGTTTGACGTGTTGCTGTTAAGAACCCGGCTCTGGAGCAGTTCGTGCTCACTTTGTTCGGCCTTGTTGGGATGTAATGTGGATTTTACTGCAGCTCGGACGGGTTCACAGTGAGGGCGTGGACTCTGTACCAGAGCCCGGGCCGGTAGGACTGTGACACGGGGAAACTAACAGAGCTAACTTGTCGCTAGCTAGTGCCGAGCTGGACTCAGTCATGCACAGAAAACACGTTCAAACACTGTGAAGCGGCTCATTTGGCTAAACGAGACTCGGGGCGTCTCTGCGGGGCTCCTAGATTTAGCACAGTGGTTTACTGCAGAGCAATGCGGAAGACACCAGAGCCCCCACAGAGCCCTCCATCAGAAGGGAAACATGTCGCTGCTTTTTACTTTAGAGCGCCCAGAAACTTCCGTTTACTAAAAAATAGTTATTTGTATCGTCACTGTTGCTGCTTGTTGGACTCGTTTGCCTCGAATTCGCCACGTTGTTCGAGTACTTTTCATAGCCGCGTGTGTCACAAAGTAACACATCTGTGCTTTGTTGGCGTTATTGCTACAGAAGTATCCTTCACAGCAGGGGAGTCAAACTTTTTAAAGGCGAAACAATAAAAAACAAACAAACAAACCCAACAACAACAACTATCAATGCGAATCTGTGTTCTCCACTTTGGAAAGAAGCCTTTATGTTGTCGCTGATGACGTCAGTGACAATTTTGACTGTACTGTCAGGTGACGGTACTTTTGAGCGTGGACACATTTTTTTTCCGCTTTAGCATAAGCGCCACCACCTTATAACGTCTATGCATCCCACTATCACCCATCCTAGTTGGATCATCTAGTGGGCACTTTGAGCTCAGTTGGGGGCCACTCGAGGGAAAAAATAACAAGAAAGAAAATAAAGTTTTTATCATTAAACCATACACCACTGTCAGTTCAGTTCAGTTTTATTTCTATAGTACCAAATCACAACAACAGCTGCCACTAGGTGCTCAGTAATGTAAGGTAAAGACTCTGCATTGATAGAGAGAGAACCCTCTGTAAGTAAGCACTTGGCAGCAGTGGGAAGGAAAAACTCCCTTTTAACAGGAAGAAACCTCAGTCATAACAAGACTGGACACAAGGCAAAGGGGACAGGATAAAAGACAGAGAGCTGGAGATTAAACTGATTAAATGCGAAGTGGCGAGAGAGTGGTAAAGAAACACTCAGTGCATCATGGGAAACTTCCAGAAGCCAGGTTTATTGCAGTGTAACTAAGGGAGGGTTCAGAGTCCCCCGATCTAGCCCTAACTACGTGCTGCACCAAAAAGGAAAGTTTTAAAGTGAAACTTTTAAAGTAGAGAAGGTTTCTGTGTCCTAAATCCAAACTGGAAGCCTGTTCCACAGAAGAGAGGTCTGAAAATGAGAGGTCTGTCTCCCATTCTACTTTTAAATATACTAGGACCCACAGTAAGCCTGCAGTCTGAGAGTGAAGCACTTAACTGGGGGGGATGATACTATGAGATAAGACATGGCCCAATGATCCATCATTTTTTCATCTATTACATTATTTAAATGAAGGAATATAGTACAAAAGTCAATGTTATGCCTGCCTGCCATGGGGATTATGTTGGATTTATGGTTTTATGGTGGTGACACATTGTAACTGCAGACATTTATGAAGTCCAACCTTGTATGCACTTTCATACACATGTATCAGTGCAGCCTGCATTCACTGCAATTGGCCTTTTGGCCACCACTGTCGTCTGCTACGTGTTTCCAGCTTCTGCCGCCATTTTTCCCATCAACTGGAAGAGAATGAATCAACTCAAAGAGACAATTAGTTTGTCTTTCGTAAACAACACAGTCAGGCATTGGTGTAGATATTTATTGAGACTGGGAAGCTCAAGTGACTGTTTGTTAGCCGTTTGTGTAATTATTTTACAGTTTGGAACTGAATGTATCAATCGGTCAGTTTTCTAATGCTTATATCCGGGTCCTGGGTCACAGAGGCAGCTCTCCACGCAGAGATGTCCAGACCTCCATCTCGCAGCTACCTCCTCTAGGCTGTGGTAGGCTCTGGTACTGACACTTAGACATAATCTCCACAGTTTGTCTTGGGTCTGCTCCAGAGTGTCCTTCCTGTAAGATATCTGAAACATTTCACCTCTGAGGTGTCCAGGAAGCACTTAGTCAGTTGTCTGAGCCACTTCAACTGACTCCATTTGATGTGGAGGAATATCAGCTCTGCTCCGAACCACTTCTGAGAGACTGAGATCCTCACCCTTTCTCTAAGGGAGAGCCCAGACATCCTCCAGGGAAGGCTCATTTCTGCTGCACAGACACAAACTAGGCAGGTTAAAAGTCCAGCATCGATCATAATGAATAAAAATACTGCATCATTTCTTCTTCTTAGAAGCATAAATGAAAGCATTTTATGATCATGTGTGATTGCCTCTCTATAGTCCTGTATTCCTAATCTTCTGTTGCAGCACCAGTTAAAACTGTTGCCTGTCATTCCAGCTGCATATCTGTTTTGTGATCATCTTTGGGTGGGATATATACTCCTGTTATGACCTGGACAAAATGGATGAATAAATCTGCTTTGCATTCCCACATAAATTCCTTCTAGATTGAAGTTTTGCAGTGCATAAAAACCAACAAAGTGGAACTTTAAAGGCTAAGTCCCACATCTACTTCTCTATAATTCTGCTGTTGTATGGTTTGACAGGATGATGGTTTTAAAATGCAGATGCAGTGTATGTAAGATTGTTTCATGGTAAATGTATGGGTCTCTGCTTTTTACATTGTGTGTTTAACAGCCTTTTGAAAGGGTTTCAGACTCGCATAGTCACAGGTGACGCAACATCTCCAAAACGGTTGTTAACTGGTGTTGTACATCAATAAAATATGAAGAATTAGTTTACCCGACTAATATTTGTATCGGTGACTGGACAGGGCAGTAACATTCAGTTGTCAGATAATAAGTCATGCACATCCATATAGTGTACAACAAGCCAGGCTGTAAACCAGAGAGGAGTGCTTGTGCAAATAGTGGCCAGAGATATGGACTTTTCCCTTGCAGATATGTTTAAAAATGTTTGGTCTGTTGACGTAACCAGTACTGAGGCAATACCTCTGTATTTTGCTTCAAGATTTCCTCAGAAAGTTGACTAAACTGAACCCTTTTATACCTAAATGGATCTGACGTCATCTTCCTCTTTGTGAGTGAAACAAGAATCTTGGTCCAGGCTGTAGGTATTGTTCTGCCTTGGAATGAAAAATAAATCTCACTTTCTTCTTTAAAAGACTGAATTCAAACTTTGACTTGGATGTGAATTTCAAATCAATAACACCAAGGTCCCTTGGGAGAGCTGTCATCAAACTGAATACATCTGCGTCGCTCCGACACATTTTCTACTCAGGCAACATTAAACGAAACTGTCTTTAAAATCTCTAGCTAAAAAGAACTCGTTTGACAGCGTTGATGATGTTAAACTTAAAAGATGAGTGGCTCTGCTGCCTTTGAGCCTTGGCCCCCCTGGTAGTTTTAGTCAAGTTATTCCACTGTTTGTGTTTCTTGACATATTTTAATGAGAATGTCCTTCTCTGAAAGAAACGGCACCAGTTTTTCATACTCACACAGCACCTCTTTTAGAAAACACTACCTCTATAAGCTGTGATAAACCAAGGATCTTCTAAGGCTGTAGATAGTTAATTACAATTAGTGTTGTTATGAATGGCGGTTAGCTTTGGCAAGCTGATCCTGGGTTCGAATCCACCATCAGGCCAGAGCCTTTCTCTGTGCAGTTTGGATGTTCTCCGTGTGTCTGTGTGGGTCTTCCTCAGTACTCCGGCTTCCTTCCACAGTCCAAAGACAGCTTTCACTTTGGGTTCTTGGCTAGCTTAGTGTTAGCATTGGTGTCTGGCTAGCCTAGCGTTAGTATGTTCTCTGGCTAGCTAAGTATTAGCATGGTGTCTGTGCATAAAGCCGAAGTTGTGTTAGCAGCTTAATGCAGCTGTTCCCGTCCTTTATTCAGTTTCCACTTTACAGTGGAACCCCAACTTACGAAATTAATTCATTCCCGAGGGTCTTTCGTAAGTCGAAAATTTTCGTAAGTTGAAGCACCCATTGCACCTTTTAAGTGAGGCGATGCTGAACGATAGGCTATAGGCTAATTGCTAACTAGAACAACAATAAGTCGTTCAAGTGGAACAGCGAAACTCAAGTACGGAAGCCAAGGGGTTGTCACATGATTTGGAAGGCATTGTAGGCATTGTAGGCTCAGCCAATCAGAGCCCGCAGATTTCGTTACACGGGCATTTTGCCGTAACACGGGCAGAAATATATTGCCGTTCAGTGCCTTCGTAACTTGAATTTTTCGTAATATGGGGTATTCGTAAGTCAGGGTTCCACTGTACTATCACGCTCCTGTCCTTTTGTGCAGTAAAAAAAAGTTATGTCCATATCAACATTGTAGACGGCGTTGCTATTTCCTCCACGCCCTGTGAACTGAAATCACTGGATTGTAGTGCAAGTGCAACAGGAACCACTAAGCATCAACAGGCAGCTAGACTAACAATTCCAAGGAACTGAACTACTAGATTCCTGATTCCCATCCCTAGATCCTGAAGGACATTTGGATCTGAATGGGTCAGTGATGTTTTCTTGAGTGGCTGAAGACACCATCTCCCAGTTTTTCATACTCCATACATTTCTGAATCTGCATCCAGATCTTAATCAACTCAAAACTCATCATTTAAATTTGGGTCGATATGAAACTTCCTTAAAGGATGACGAATGGGTTTATTGTTATTGCACAAAAAACGATAAAATTGATGCAAATATGTTAAATGAACACCAAAGATCGCCTGGGACCGATAACAACACAGTTCCCCACCAGCCCCATGATGCAACCTACACAGCATAGCATAACATGTCTGTGCCTGTTTAAGACTTCTGCTGTTTTCTCAGCTTGGGGTGTGACATGTAGTGGGGCTGGTTTTCCCAATACTCCTATCTGACTCTTATTTAATCCAAAAGAATCCTGTAGGATAATTCGGGGTCGTCCCCTACAGCTGCAGGGCTCCTTCAAAGCTAAAACCATTTCGGGGGGATTTTTATTTTGTAAGTACTTGCGGTATCTGTTTGATGAATTTTATTAGTGTTGATTTCAGATAGAAATACACACTTGAACCCAGACAATGCTACTACTAATAATGCAGTCTACGGTATATAACTAATGTCCATTCAGCATAACATTTAAACAAAAAGTAGCATAAAGGTTGAATTTTTATATCTCATGGAGACGCAAGTCATCAGTTTGCTGTTTAATGTAATGACATCTTTGGAAAATCACCATTGATAGTTTTTTTCTTTTTCTTTTTCTAGGAAAATAGGTCAAAAACAGAGTTTTTACAGTTCCAACAAGCTTGAAAGTCAGTATTTGGTGTGACCACCTTTATTCTTCAACACAGCCTGAAAGCTTTCAGGAAAGCTTTTCTGTTGTTTCTTTAAGTAGTATTCAGGAATAGTTCTCCAGGCTTCGTAGATGGATGTTTCTCCCTCCCACACTGTTTCAATAATGTTGAGGTCCAGGCTCTAGGGAAGCCAGTCCGTGACTGATAGTGTTCCATTGTGTGTTTTTTCTATTCAGGTGTGATTTTATTGCATTGGCAGAGCGTTTTGAATGAAGCTGATTACCAATCTTTGAAAATAGTGGATCAAAACTTTACTTTTCTATGACAAGTACAACATCACTGGCTGAAATGGAGCCCCAAAACATGACAGAGCCTCTACCATGTTTTATAGATAGCTGCACCCCATTCCAAGATGTGCCAAGATTTAATCTAATCGCTATTTAGGAATCACCTTGTTGGTGCAAAATACAATTTTATTTCCATCCATTTGTATGGCAAATGTATGAAAAATGCCAACTCTTTGGCATTTTTCATGGATTCTGCAAAAGAAATAGGAGCAAATGGTGTTTTTTTTTGCCACAGGCTTCCAGTAACAAAGTCCCCAAAAATACAATTTAAAAGTGGTTCTTTGCTTTTATGTATAGACCCAACAGCAGTCCATCCATTTAGTTTGGTGCCGTTCTTATCCTTGAATGATTCATAGATCAATGTTAAGTAGCTTAATAAACAAACAACCAAAAATCATTCATCTGAAAATGGTCAGGTACGAGGACTGGACTGAAAATTAGTAAAACAAAAAAATGTTGAAGACCTTCAGAAAACCCTGGAAACCTTTGCCCTGGAGCACTTACATATCATACAAACACAAATACATATCAAAAGCCAAATACTTTATATATTAAAAGTACCTACAGAAACCTTTTTAGTTAGCATACGATGGTATGACCTCCAGATTTAAAAGATTTGATAAATGTGATGGATCAGATCTCTGTGCTGTTTTAACTTTCCAAATTCGTCTGTGATGCCTCACCAGTGCACCATGCAGATCTTGTTTGTCAGTAACTCTTTCACAGTTACACAACCAGATCCCATAATTATAGAGCGAGCAAGCTGACATTATCAGTAGATAATATAGTTTAAGTAACTCATCTGATAAAAAGCATGATATGGATTGCGTAATTTCTTGGTTTGACATGCATATTAGTCACTGGTAAATGGACCAAAACCAGTGTAAAATGCAGCAATACAGAAATTAGCCCTTGTAAATGTGTTTGTAGCATACATATTTTTGCCCATGTGACCTCAACCTGGATAAGCAGTAGAAAATCTATGTACAATTACCATGAATAAGAATTAGTATATAAATAAGTTACCGTGTTAATTATTCCATTATTACAATCTTCATTCCTGTTGGCTAGTTAATAGTTGTTTTTTTTTTTTAAGCTTAAAAATGTGTGTCACAGCCCGTCTTTGGTTGCAAGATGATTTTAATTTTGAGCCTTGCAGTATGACTGTTTTGGAGGGACTAAAATATTATCACAATTTTTTCACCCTTTTATCTTTCAATTCAGAATTAGGTTTCAGCCTTTTTTTTTTTTTTTAAGTTTTGCTCCAATTTTGGCTGGATAAATTGGACATTCAACATTTTTGAAACCATCAGACTTCCATCTGATGGTTTGGTACAATCAGATGGAAGTCAGATCAGCCAAGCTCATTGAACCTGTCTGCTGGAGTATGTAGTGTCTTAAATTTGACGCCTAATCCCTACAAAGTAATGAGATGCTTTGACTTGAACACATGATGGCCAGTGCAAACAAATTGGTCCTTCACCTGTCAGGAGTGCATTTATATTAAATTTTAGTCTGTTAGTTCTCTCTGCTAAATAATTGTTGTGCTGTGGTGAAATATTTTCTGTGGTGTCACTTGTCAGCATTGTTGTTCCCGCTCTACATCTTTGCTATGAAGTATTGCTCCCAGAGGGGTGACAGGTGTTTGACAGACTCAAATTTAAATGGACAACCAGCGCTTAGGTTCATGCACGATTTATAGGAAGCCTGCCCAAAGTTCATCTTTCTGCTGATGAACAACACAGTCATGGAAAAAAAAAATGTGTGTGAGATGACAGGACCTACTTACCATGCCAGTGTGGGTCCTGCATAGCACAATTAAAGTTGTGTAATCCATTTGAGTAACACTGAGGATTTTTTTTTTTTATTATTTCTCAGTGTCAACAGACTTCAACATACGGCTTTCATCGTCTTCCAGAAACACTACAGCGACGTCAAAGTGGAGAAAAAGTAAGAGAGCTTTTTTGCTTTGCTGAGTTTTACCTTTTTACATGTTGCTGTGTTTTCTGTCACGTGGTTCTACAGGGAGTGCAGAATTATAAGGCAAGTTGTATTTTTGAGGAATAATTTTATTATTGAACAACAACCATGTTCTCAATGAACCCAAAAAACTCATTAATATCAAAGCTGAATGTTTTTGGAAGTAGTTTTTAGTTTGTTTTTAGTTTTAGCTATTTTAGGGGGATATCTGTGTGTGCAGGTGACTATTACTGTGCATAATTATTAGGCAACTTAACAAAAAACAAATATATACCCATTTCAATTATTTATTTTTACCAGTGAAACCAATATAACATCTCCACATTCACAAATACACATTTCTGACATTCAAAAACAAAACAAAAACAAATCAGCGACCAATATAGCCACCTTTCTTTGCAAGGACACTCAAAAGCCTGCCATCCATGGATTCTGTCAGAGTTTTGATCTGTTCACCATCAACATTGTGTGCAGCAGCAACCACAGCCTCCCAGACACTGTTCAGAGAGGTGTACTGTTTTCCCTCCTTGTAAATCTCACATTTGATGATGGACCACAGGTTCTCAATGGGGTTCAGATCAGGTGAACGAGGTGGCCATGTCATTAGTTTTTCTTCTTTTATACCCTTTCTTGCCAGCCACGCTGTGGAGTACCTGGACGCGTGTGATAGAGCATTGTCCTGCATGAAAATCATGTTTTTCTTGAAGGATGCAGACTTCTTCCTGTACCACTGCTTGAAGAAGGTGTCTTCCAGAAACTGGCAGTAGGACTGGGAGTTGAGCTTGACTCCATCCTCAACCCGAAAAGGCCCCACAAGCTCATCTTTGATGATACCAGCCCAAACCAGTACTCCACCTCCACCTTGCTGGCGTCTGAGTCGGACTGGAGCTCTCTGCCCTTTACCAATCCAGCCACGGGCCCATCCATCTGGCCCATCAAGACTCACTCTCATTTCATCAGTCCATAAAACCTTCTTGAGATATTTCTTGGCCCAGTCTTGACGTTTCAGCTTGTGTGTCTTGTTCAGTGGTGGTCGTCTTTCAGCCTTTCTTACCTTGGCCATGTCTCTGAGTATTGCACACCTTGTGCTTTTGGGCACTCCAGTGATGTTGCAGCTCTGAAATATGGCCAAACTGGTGGCAAGTGGCATCTTGGCAGCTGCACGCTTGACTTTTCTCAGTTCATGGGCAGTTATTTTGCGCCTTGGTTTTTCCACACGCTTCTTGCGACCCTGTTGACTATTTTGAATGAAACGCTTGATTGTTCGATGATCACGCTTCAGAAGCTTTGCAATTTTGAGACTTCTGCATCCCTCTGCAAGATATCTCACTATTTTTGACTTTTCTGAGCCTGTCAAGTCCTTCTTTTGACCCATTTTGCCAAAGGAAAGGACGTTGCCTAATAATTATGCACACCTGATATAGGGTGTTGATGTCATTAGACCACACCCCTTCTCATTACAGAGATGCACATCACCTAATATGCTTAATTGGTAGTAGGCTTTCGAGCCTATACAGCTTGGAGTAAGACAACATGCATGAAAAGGATGATGTGGACAAAATAATCATTTGCCTAATAATTATGCACTCCCTGTAGAGCTTGGTTGGAAGGTTAAGTGTACTAATTTCCACACTAGAAACGTAGGGACTTAGTCCTGGGTCTGAACTTCATGTTCTACCATAAAAGCAGCATGCCCACAATGAAGCTGTAATGATGGGCTCAGTGTTAAACAGTACAAGGAGTTACTTGTTAATCATTGTGTTCCTTCCAGTGAGGATTCCTATGAACTTGTTATTGCTCTATTATCTTCGTGAGCTTTTGTACATCAGGTGTAATGTCACTTGTCTCCACACTAAGGCTTGCTGATAAGTGAGTCGTGCAAATGCAAGAAAAAACTTAACATATTAGCCGCCACTTCCAAAATACATCGCAATCTCCAACTTGTTTTGGTAGTGGATGTGCATTGTGGGTAATGTAGGCATTACGAATAAAAAAGAATGCTTGGAATCATCTTAACTACTTCCACAAAGGAGGCTTATGTTTTTGGTAGCATTTCTATATCTTCAAGAGATCAACTTTTCGAAAAGTCTTGTGATTCCGATAACTGGAAAATGATGTAGGAGCTTCAGATTGATACCATAGATGCATCTACCAAAAATCTCAGAGACCTCGACCTCCAGGTCAGGGTAAGCTTTCTAAAAATCTTGTATATTGTGATAACTTGAGAACAAGACGATAGCAGATATGGTGGACACACCTTTAGGTTCATTAGGTTCATCCAGCACAGACTTGGGGAATAATTTTGACCATAAAGCATATCTTACAAGGTAAACCACTGCTTCCAGACAGTCTTCCACTTCTTCAAACCAGTAAGCGCTGCAGGCGGCCTTGTGAACTTTTCTTCCTTCAGATAGATCTTGTTGACTGAAGCGTGTCTAATAATTGTCTTGGATTGAGTTGAACTAAACAACAAGTGACTTTGGGTGTTTATGTGGGTGGAAAACACACCCCAGTAAAGGAAAGTGGTGAACTTCATAATCAAAATGAATGTTAAAAAAAAAGTGATTGTTTTCTTTTTATTTTGTTTGCATGATCATTTTCTAATGATGCCAAAATCAAGAAAAAATCGGACTGTCATGGCCGAATGCTGGTTGTAGGAGTCTTCTCTGTCCTCTGTGAATTGCAGGGTCATTGTAACCAACACCTGTGTCAGGTGGAGCTCCAACGTGTCAATCTCACAAGGCTGCAAAGCAGAATCGGGATTACCATCTAAAGTCCAGGAGGGACAGTCACTAGACAGGCAGCTGATTTTTGCTTTGAGATTTATCATCAAGTATTACTTAATGATTTGTTTTGGAAAGCTTGGGTGCGCCTCCGTGCTGCCACCTGATGCTTTCAAGTTTTGTGCAAAGACTGAAGTTGCATCAGACTGGCTTATAAGCGCCTTTACGTCTTTGCATAAATGAGTCGTGAAGTTTTTAAGGCTCTTCTGTGTTTACATTGCAGCTGCCTTCTCGTGAGGCCCCATTTAGCAGTCTCTTTTAATATCCTTCCAAACATGCACTTGGAGTTCAGCTTCCTAAGAAAGTAATGCAAATGCCAAAAGAAGGGCAGAGCTTTACTTTAACCTTGTAGACCCTTCATATCACAGATGTCTCAGGTGCACATTATTTACATATGTGGCATTAGAGTCAGGGGGAAAGCTTTGACTTCTCATTTAACTGTTCAGACTGACTTTGAGTCAGATTTCTATGAAGTTTGTTACAGAAAACGATTCCCCGCATTAGAAATGAGGGAAGCAAAAACAGAAAATGACTTTATCTTGAAGTGTCAGTGAATGGTCTTCTCCTGTGGGATTTGAATGAAGTGGGCTGAGCTGTTTCAGGAAATGAGCACTCTCAAGCCAAGTTGCTCCTCAATACACTTCCAGTCCATGCAGGGCGTTGTAATGTTCTCTTCTACCGGCTGTTTAGCGGCTGACCTATGGCACTCGTGGGGCGTAATCAGACTTTAATTACACCCTCTTAATCACTTGAAGACAATCTGTGCGACAAGACCGCTCCTCACAGCACGTGGGCTGTTTTTACCTGCTAATCTGGCCCTGCTTTCCTGGTTAATAGGGAGTGAATTATATTGATATTCACTTTATTCTGCATTTCTTGGACATTCCTGTACTTTTGAGGCCGCTCATTTTTTCTTTTCTTTCTTTCCTTTTTTAAACTATATTCTCTTAAATATAAGAGCAAGCTCACACTGTCACCCATCTTAGGTCAGACTCAACCAAAAACAATGTGAAAAGTCTCTACAATCATCATTATTATTCCAAGTGAAAGGTATGCACCGCAGAACTGGCTCCGTGGAGTGACTCTGGCTCACAGAGTATGACATTCCAAGCTAAAAGCAAACCAAACTGATATTGCCCTCCAATACCGTCTTCATATTTTCTCCATATTTGGAAGTGTTTACCTCCTCATGATGGTTGACAGAGGTTGGATGAGGGGATGTGAGTCATTTCAGCTGCACAAGGCTTTCTGGGGGTGAGAGGAGTCTTCCAAGTCACTGCCATTTAGTGAAGCTAGCAGTTTGTGTGCCTCAGTGATCTAAAGAGAAACTGTGAGTATCATTATGTGCTTAATTTATAATCTAATCACTTGAAAGGAGCTTAAGTAGCAGTTTCACACATGTATTTTTTTGCATATAATGCGGCTGCTTTTCGGAAACCTTTATCATTATTATCATAATATGAAAAGGTGAGGGGATCGATTTGGATTGTTTCTCTGGCTCACCAGATATTTTCAGAAAATGTTTAAAAAGTTCAGATGAGCGCAGCGCTCCAGTGACACATTTTTCTTACTGCGAGACTGACTTTGTACGCAGATGTCTCAGTTATGCCAGAAAGTTAGAGATGAAGGTGAAAAATGCAAGTGTTATGTATGACCAAACCGAACACACATTTTTGGGGCAGAACTTTTTAAATAGCCCAGTATGTTTTCCTGTAGCTGTCCTGTGGTTGAGTGTGAGTGAGTGAGGGGCAGCTCAGGTCATTGAAGAATTCTGGTTTTGCAAACAGCCACTCTTACTGATAGCTACACCTTAACAGGTCTGACCTCCCTCCTGGCTCTTACTTTCACACTTCAAACACTTAATGGCAGCTGCCTGGCAGTTTTTTTCCACTTCACAAGTCGAGCAAGAGGTAAATGATTTTACTTTGCTGCGAGGGCTCAGGCTGCTGATTTTAGTGATGGTGTGGTCTGATTATCTAATTACTTCTATCTCTAAATTACACTGGGACTCTGTAAGCCTTTTAACCTGAGAGATAAACTGCCTGCGTAAATGTTTCCTTTTAATTTGTGTTTTATTACATGCCACTGAAAATATGTTTGAAATGATTATTTACACCGTTTAATGTTAAGTAGCTTCTGCCTTTGTGGGAAAAACTTCTCTGAGCCATGGGGGTCAGACACGTGACC